TTAGATACTGGCCATGGAAAGTGAATAAACTGAAACCAGTGCCCTAAAAAAATGTGCAGTTTGGTGGAAGAGGTGCATATAAATATGGCCAACTATGATGCAATAAAACCATTCTTAAACTTTGAACAAATCTGACTGCAGCATTTCTCAGATTTATTTGACTTTGGTGGGAGTGGGGGACTTTAAATTGTTATAATTAATAATATTGGTTGGAGGTCATTAGATATATTGAAAGTCTGGAAAAAGTTGACATCAAACAAAACAAAACAAAAAACCCCAAACCAAGTAACAACTTACATATGAACTCTTTGCTGCAAGAATTTATGTTTAGCGTATAATCACATTTTTGTGTATTAAACATGTTGTTGTTGTTATTTCCTGTTGAATCAGACCCGACACATAGCGACCTCTCCTTGGGTTTCTGAGGCAGTATCACTATGGAAGTAGATTGCCCAACCTTTCTTCCGAGGAGTGGCTGGTGGGTTTGAACCTCCAGCCTTCTGGTTAGCAGTCAAGTGCCTTAGGCACTATGCTACCATGAGAATGTATGAAAATGTTGACAAATTATAATAAGCTATACAACATTGATCAGTCAGCCTCAAACAGAAAAATATACACTCTGCTTGGATAATTGCTGCTATTAATATAAGGATGCACAGATGAAAACATTCATTTATCAACTGATTTCATGAAACTTAAATCTTAAAGATGATTGATTTCCCAATTAGAGAGACTATATACATATGATTACTTTCGAATTTATTGACATAATTAAAATATATTTTGGAAGAAAATTTATTATAAGCATTGATTTTTTTTTTTTTTTTTTTTTTGTGGAAAACCTATTAGCATCTCCCGTAATATGGTATTCATTGTCCTGTGAGCAGAAAGAGGAAGGGTGTTACAGACTGAGAAATCAATGTGAACAAGTGTGTGGACATGCGAGAGTTTGTGGGAAACAACAGTGTAGGTGGAGCCAAAGAAACAAGGAGGGGAGGGTCAAATTTGACGTTAGATGATGCTAGACAGGCCGGATTAGACCAGTTTGTGAAAGGAACTTAATGAGTTCTTTGCCTTTTTGACTTCTAACGTTACCGCTGATAAAATTAAAATTTAATCATGATTTAGTTGTTTACGTTTTCCCACTTTTCTCAGAAATCACCACATTTCATTACCAGTGAGCCATTTGAACATATAGCTGTATCTCAAAAAGGAAAAAAAAAAAAAAAATGCTTGAAAGACCTTAGGAGCTTGTGGTGTAGTGCTTAAGGCATTTGACTGCTAACCAGAAGGCTGGCCATTCAAACCCACCAGCCTCTCCTTGCAAGGAAGATGGGGCAATCTGCTTCTGTAGTGATGTTGTTGTTGTGTTGTTATGTGCCGTTGAGTCAGACCCGATCATAGTGACCCCTCTTTGGGTTTCTGAGGCGGTATCACTACAGAAGTAGATTGCCCAACCTTCCTTCCCAGGAGAGGCTGGTGGGTTTGAAGTTCCAGCCTTCTGGTTAGCAGTCAAGTGCCTTAGGCACTACGCTACCAGACCCAAGGAGGAGTTGCTATCAGTTGGACTTGACATGAATGATGTTTTAGACAATGTGCTAAACCACATTAATTTTCATGAGTATTTTTCAAAACCAGTATTATTCCATTGATTTTAGAAACTGAGGCTGAATCTGCATGTCGACCCACCCTATTTGATTCAAAATTTATTTTAATAATTGATTTTTGTGATAGCATTTTCCCAAGTATGTTTTGCATTCTTTGGTATAATTATGGGGACCAAAGTGGCCCGTGTCTTCCCCTGGAAGACTCATAATGCAGTTAGGATATTGAAGTCCCTGTGAAGCTATGACATGAACTCTATTTCATTTTTTTCACCTGAATATTTTACAAACTTTGCTGTTCTCAGAACTCTCTCTCTCTCATCTATTGGAAGAGCCTCATTAATCAGAACTCAAATTTATTTAGAATCCAGATATTATAAACCTTACCAGATGCTTTTAAATCAATGTTTGTCAGAATGACTCACTGAGTTGTAAAATCAATTAAGTGGGTTGTGATCAGTGTTTAGGAAAAAGAAAAAATGAAGAATAGGACAGAAAACGTCAGACTTGCTGCATGTAGTACAGCAAAGTTCTGAATCATGACATTTTTACTAGGTCACAATGTAAATTGTATTCTCTCTGTGGTCATGACCCAAATTGTCTGAAGCCACTGCTTTCGTGAACGTCACATGAGTTGCTCACTGTGCCAGGAATTACAGTGATGAAAAATGCCTGAATTTGTAAAACTAACACAAAAAGGATTACTATAACAATATAACTAAATATGATGTTTATTATTACTTAAAATCAAAGGATTTTAGAGCTGAAATATCTCATGGGAGAATTGCGAGTTTTAATGACTAGTCAAAGTCAGACAGCTGTTAGTTGGGTCTGGAACCCAGTATTTGTGATTAGTACTCTAACGTTCCTTCGTGAAGGAGCTCTGGTGGCATAGTGCTTAAGGCATTTGACTGCTAACCAGAAGGCTGGTGGTTTAAACACCCCAGCCACTCTTCAGAAGGAAGATTGGGTGATCTACTTCTGTAGTGATACTGCCTGGGAGACCCAAGGAGAGGTCATTATGAGTCGAATCCAACCCGTGGGCAATGAGTTTCATTTTTGGTTGGTTCCTTTATGAAACAACACATATTTACATAATTTTAATTTGTAGAACCCTGAGGATTATTTCATTTAATGAATAAGGAAAACCCAGCTCAAAGTTCAGTGAATCATTCCCTAACAGTAAGTCAATGAGAAGTTACAAAAATGCTGAAGGTTTTAATTGAAGAAAGAAAAAAGCAATTTAAAGATAATTCAGAGCTGAGGTCTAATTTTACTTCCAACAACTAACTAACCTAATATACTTTGTCATTAGGTGGGGCCATTTAGTAATCAAGTTTCTCATTTGTACGTTTAAGTGTTCCCGAAGATCAGCAGTTCGAACCTACCAGTCCCTCTGCTGAAGAAAGATGGTGCAATCTACTTCCATAAAGATTTACAGCCTCAGAAACCCAACGGAGGTCGCTATGAGTCAGGAGGTCGCTATGAGTCAGATTTGACTCCATGGCGGTGGGTTTGGCAGGTAACAACACATCAGTGGATACACAATACTGTCATATATCACTGAAAGATGAAATATTTACTTTTACTCTTTAGGAATAAAGAATGAGTCAAACATTTAAAATGAAAAGAAACTATGACTTTCAAGTATTCCATAGCAGAACAAACATTAGCTTCTATGTTTTATTTTAGGCAGGCCTCTTCAAAACTCTTTTTAGTGTAAGTCTTGAAAATTATACCTTAAGCACTCTTTTCTAATGATGTATTAGGAGTGAGGATTTCAGAGACTGATCAGTGGAGATTATTTCCCTTTCTTCCTTCTGTTTTCAGGAAAGCTATCATAGGAGTCCACCCCAGGGAGGTAGGACCAGGCTAGGCTTCGACTAACCTCTTCTCATGCTGTGAGTACCCAGGGAGGTGCCAGCTCCCCTAAGGAGAGATCCAGGTGACACCTGTTGTTGTTGTAATGTGCCTTCGAGTGACCCCTCCTTGGGTTTCCAAGGCAGTATCACTACAGAAGTAGATTGCCCCATCTTTCTTCAGAGGAGTGGCTGGTGGGTTTGAACCGCCAGCCTTCTAGTTAGCAGTCAAGTGCTTTAGGCACTATGCTACCAGAGCTCCCTGGCGACACCTAGTAGAAATTATTTGATAACTTAATCTTGGTTTGAGGACCAAGGCCTGTGCACTCTAGTGATAACGGAAAAATAAGGGTGACTAAAAAAAGGGACACGGTATCTTTTAATGTAAACGAAAAAAGAATAAACAAGAACTCGAGGTGTGGGGTAGCACCTCCCACAAAACGTGGAAGGCGGCTGATGTCTAGAGAACAGAACCTCGTTGTTACGTCCTGCAGACTCCGGGGGTTCTCTCCCGGAAGACTTTTCCAGGGCTGGGAGAACACTGGATGTTGTAGGAGGCGAATTTCCCAAAGCCCAGGGCAGCCCTTGGACCCTCCCCCTTCCTATAATTAACTCAACGTCGGGCCTGCCAGCAGGGACTGGTGGCTCTCTTGATCCTCCGCTCCTCTAGCTCAGCTCCCGGGGAAGGAGAGGACCGCGAGGTGGGGAGTCGAGCTCGGGTCACTACAGGCCCCCGCGCGGTCTCAAGACCTGACCCTCCCTGGGGCCCGCAGCCTGTGCGATCCTCCAGTCCCTCCCGCCCCACCTCCCGCA